TTAGGAATGGGAGAAGGTGGCTGCTAAGGGTATCTGCTACATCCTGATGGAAGAGATGTTCTGTTCTTACGCGGTCTCCAAGCTCTAAATGGAAGAGCTGGAAGAACAGTACCCCCAAAGCAGTGTTTCAGTCATTGTTACTGCAGGTCTGGCGAAGCATTTGGGTCAGCCTTCATGCTGTGAAGTGTGCATTGTAAGAGATCTCTCTCTTGCAGTCTCCCACGCTTTCTTTGCAAAGGAGTAGCATGGAGGTGGGCTGAGCAAACCCACAGAGCTTCCCAGACTGGGAAAACAAATAACTGTACATACCATAGATAAGAAAGAATGGTAAATGGAAAAGCTGAGGAGAATAGCAGAAAAATAGCCATTTCCAGGGACATATAAAAAGGTAAACCAGGTATTAATGCAGCATTAATATCATATTGGCAAATAGATATATTAGCAGGCTTAGCAAATTACTAATATACCAAAAGCCTGATTGGTAAATGTATCCATATATTGTAATTCTTGCCCCCAGTAGATCTGTGCTCCACTTGTTTTCAGCTGAAAGACTTTCTGATAGAGATGTGTCAGGTCTTGGGGGTAAATGCACCAAAAGAGATCCCTTACAAATGGCAACCTGTACCAGCCTACATACAGAAAATCCCTAAATACTTAAATACATAAGAGTACAGAAGAAATCAAATCAGTCTCTTAGTTTCTGAGCAATTGTTGCATTTTCCTCTTTTTGGAGGTTTTTCCAGCTTTTCTTCCTTTTTGAACTGCCTCACAGCTAGACTCTAAATGTGTCAGCTGTTAAGAACATGGGCCAACAAAAGAAAGGAAATGGTTTCCAAGCAACAGGAACCACACAACAATTCTCAGGATTGATTGTTGCCCTCTGACTCAGATATCGTTTCATTCATCCATTCTCCAGGATGGCAGTTCTCCACATGCTCCATCAAAGAACAGAACACCTACAGGCTAGTTTCACTACAAAAGGCGCATTGACGATTAACTTCACAGCAGTAGGGTATAACTACATCTCCCAGCAAAGGCCCACAGGACCTCAAGGTATAAACACTAGATCATGAGTGGGTAAAGCAAGCAAGCATTGCCACAACTGTTGTCCAAGGTGAAGTTGATCAGGTTTTGAGAAATGTGTACAGGCATACCTTGTTTTATTGCGCTTCGCAGATATTGCGTTTTTTACAAATTGAGGCAAGACCCTCCACCAGCAAAAAGGTTACGACTCGCTGAAGGCTCAGATGATGGTTAGCATTTTTTAGCAATAAAGTATTTTTTAATTAAGGTATGTACATTGTTTTTTAGACATAATGCTATTGCACACTTAATAGACTACAGTATAGTGTAAACATAACTTTTATATGCACTGGGAAACCAAAAAATTCATGTGACTCGCTTTATTGCAATATTCACTTTATTGCGGTGGTCTGGAACCAAACCCGCAATATCTCCGAGGTATGCCTGTACTTTACTCTGAAGTTATACAGTTGGAATTGGTTTTAAGTCCCTCACAAACACAGGCCAGGACTTAATTTTCACATTTCAAATCTCTTATAGCCAAATCTCTGGTCATTTTGCAGGTCTTCCTGATTGATGTGTTTGGTGAGTGTGCAACAGTCTCATGTCATGGTTTGAGGGCTTATGCCATAACTGGTGCTGAATAAACCTCAAAAAGGCTAGGGGTGAGGTAAAAACAGACAGGAGTTTGGAGGCTCTCCTGGGTCTCCTTGCAATGTAGAACTGCAGTGTTACTGGAGCAGGTGGCTTTGAATTCCCAATGCCTCCTGCTGAATTTTGGCTGGAGAGCCTGTATCTTCTAGGAGTTTTTCTGCTTCCAGTGACTGGAAAGTGCAGACTGGAGAAAACAGAAAGACAAACAGTTTTCTAACTTTTTTTCATGCTCACAAAGAAAAGACAGAGTCAGCCTTGGTTTGCTAGTTGAGTAAGTTCCAGGTAACTTTCTGTTTTACCCTGAACAATTTCATCTGAATAGCCATCCTTAAACCCTGTAATGTGAGCTTTTTTTTTTCATCTGTCATGACTGTAATTATCATGACAGCTCTGTTGCTGTTGAGTTTCTTCCTTCTGGGTGTTTTAAAAATGTAGCAGTACCTGACTTCTACACATAATGGGAAGAAATAACTTAAATGGTCTTTTACCCAGATGCTCTTCCCGTCACAATGTCTTGGATGTGTGTTACTCCCAGCCCGTATCCTTGTCTAAGGCTAACTGTTCACTTGTGGGCAACGTAAAGACAGCTTAAAGATTTAACCTTCCCTGACTCTGTCCAAGGCTGGTTCTGTACCGAGTTAAAGCAGCTCAGTGGCTGCTAGTGAACTCGAGCAAGCCAAAATGACAACCACACATATTGAGCACACCCCTTTTACCCATACGCCATCAACAGGCAGGGAATTAGTATAGGACTTGTGAAGTCACTGGGAAATCAGCCTTACACTAGAGTCAGATTCCACTGGTAGTCTGCTGCATCTGGGTCATGCCATGAAGGAGTGTGTGGCATGCTGATCACCGCTGCATAGTGTAGCTCTCAGGCTAAGTCCAGATAGTCTAAAAGTCCGAGGCTGAAACAATTCAATCTTTGCAGGTTAGTTTAAGCTGCATAGAGTGAACCAATAAGCAAGTGAACAGATATTTTCTTTTGATTCCAGAAATGCAGCCACATGCTCGCCCTACCCGTTCCCCAGGACTAGGATTGCTCTTCCTTAATTGATTTATTCTTGTATTTATCTGTCACATTTGAATCTTCATTTGCTGTGTCATCATAGCTAATCACTAGGGGTGCACCGATAAAAAATTTTTTGGCAGATACCAATGACCTATTATTAACCAGCCATATCGACTAATAACAATCCGATTGCTGATATGCAGCCCAGCAGCTTGGAGAGCAGCATTGGGCTGGTAAGTCTGTAAGAGGGAAGGGATGTAGGGGAGGGAAGAGGTGTAGGGGGTGCAGATCGAGTCCCCCATGGTGAGGGGCAGGCGCTGCCCAGGCAGGGCACAGGACAGAGCCATGGGTAGCTCATCCAGGGGGTGGGGGAGGTGGCTCCCACTGCTGTGCACACCCCGAAAGGAGGCATGAGGGGCATGTGCCCCCCAGATTTGTGCATGGGGGGGAAGGCAGGCTGCTCGGGGCCGGGGGGCTGCACAGGTCTCTTCCCACTGGACTAGGGCCATGCTCAGGGCAGGCAAGGGTGCAGTGGGCAGCGATGGTCCTGGGAGGGGGGGCTATGGGGTGGGCTGCAGCCATACCAAAATTCACCATAGCCCCACTGTGCTCCCCCTGACAGTGCTGCCACCACCCACCCCCAGCACAGCCCCAGCTCAGCCTCCCTGCTGGGAAGAGGCCAGTGCAGCCCCTGGCCCTGAGCAGCCCAACCCTGCCCTGTGCACAAATCTGGGGGGCACATGCCCTCCATACTTCCCCCCAAGGTGTGCACAGTGGCGATGCTGAATATCTAGCAAAATGGAGGGTGCTCCACCCAAATCCATGTGGTAGAGAGAATGAAATAGTTTCTCATACATCATACTTTATATGACGCAGAAGTGATGGCCTTTCTCTTTTGCCCTGGTGGTACCATATTGTGGATGCTCTACATCTGCTGTTTTTCTGGGCTTCAGTAAATGGTAAAGTTCACAGAAGCACCCAGCTCCCATTGACTTTTAGGGGACTTTTGAAAATTTTTTCTAGAATCTGTTGGTGCTTGTGTCAGTAGGACAAGTGATTGGAGTCTCAGTTTCTAAGCAAGATGAGTATGTGTGGAAGTGGCTCTAGGGGAAGGCAATTACTGACACTCAGAAGACAGTCCAGAAAGCCTTATCATATTTGCTATGCTGATTAAATTTAGGTAATAAAATTACATGCTGGTTACTGCATTGCCACGGTTTCTGGCAACTGTTTAATTTGTCAAAATATTACAAATATCTAACATTCATTTAACATAGAATTATTCCTAGGCTCTGCAGAAAATGAAAATATAGACCATGAATTTCTGTTGGCTTGTCGGTGAGGGAACAAGCGATTTGTGTAGAGAAACAGTTCTATTGTACTGTACAGCATAGTACTGAGTTATCAGTTGCTATTTAGATAATGTACATACATTTCATTTGCAAGTATATCAAAGAGCTACTAAAGTACACTGTCATGAAATATAAATAACAGCTTAATTTTTAGGCATGTCCCATTATGTCAAACCTGTGGCACACCTTAATAAGAAAGAACTAATAGCAGAGATGGTGATCTGATCTGGCAACAAATTTGGAAGACTAAAATAATGAAGCTAGGCAGCTGCCTCCACACAGATCCATCCAAATTTCATATAACAAACTGAATGAATAAATTGATTTGCTAGACTGATAGTGGTCTGGATCTCTTGTGAATGTGAAGTCCTGTCTGCTTCCAATATAAAGAATTGTAGTTTCAGCTGTTCATTAGCCAGCAGTGGGTCAGGGGTTGTGATTGCAATTTCTCTCATATATCAGAAAGCTGTAAGTGTACAGTGAAGGCAGTTCAGCTATCCCCAGATGGTTTTCTCCTGAGTTCTTCTCAGTCACCAATTGTGATGTTTTCTCTGTCCAGTACTTCTCTAAGCACTGTGTTATTTCCTGAAAAATCCATGATCTCTAAACAAAAAATAGCTCAATTGCTCCAAACTATGAATGCTTCTGATCTCACAAGCTCAGCAGGTTCAGATCTTGGGCTTGTTAGGTGCTCATGAGACCAAGGGTATCATAGGGTCCTTGCCACCTCCCAAGACCTATCAAACCCTCAGATACTTGGCCAAAAATGTCTAGCATAACTAAAGTGTATGGCCTTGATATTCAAAGATGTTCAAACACCCATGAGTTCCTTTGCCATCAAATGGAGTTTTCAATGCAGAGTATCTCTGAAGATCAAACCCAAGGTGTTACTTCCTATTTCATGAGCAATTGCTCTGGAATTTGTCTAGCTTCCTAACCAATGTACTTTTCTTTTCTAGCACTTACGGTGAGCTCACCAACTGTACCTTCCTAATAGCTGGGAAACTAGACTGCTATTGGCCGAACAAGCTGGTGGACGAGTTCTTCATAGCCATTCACAAACATTATTTCAAAAACTGCTCCCTCTCTGGGAGGTCTCTGAAAGACCCACCAAATAACATCCTGTATCCATTCATTGTGATACCCATTCTTGTTACCCTGCTCATGACAGTACTAGTGGTGTGGAGAAGCAAAAAGAGCGAAGGCATTGTGTAACTTCAACTGCCCTGCACTGCAACCTAGGATGGCTCTAGGTCCATATGGACACTATTTTGTGGATGAAACTCTCTTCAGTAGATAATAAGGGCCCTTGCAAAATCAGCAGCCTGTTGGAAACCATTGAGCAAGACTGCTCTAGTGAACCATTTTGTCACCCTACAGCAAGCTGGGAGGGCTCATCAGTATTATAAAGGCAGTGCACAACTGACATTTCATCCTGTGCTGACAAGAGAAGTGTCACATGCTTTTCTTCTGGAGAACAATCTTTGTTAAAGCAGAGATGACACCCTTTGGACTAAAATCTCTGCTCCGCAAGTTGCTAATACTCTTAGCACCTCTCACGTGCCAATTCCTTTGTCATTTTAATTGTGTCATAAATACATTTTTTAAGTGAAAGTTCTATAATTAAAGATTAGTATCTATATGCCTAACCAATAATTAGTTCCAGTGGCCCTTGGGAGGTACTATTCTTCACAAATAATCTGAATATTCTAATTCATTTCTTGGAAAGTTGTGGATTGAATGCTGCTGAATCCTGTTAATAAAAGGCATCCCTGATTACTTTGCAAACTGTTGTTGTCAAGTATCATTTTTAACATGAAAGTACTACAACTCTGTCTAGTTGTGTAGGGGCTTGGCTTTTCCTAGTTAAGATAAATTGTTGGCATCATTTTTATTACAGAAGCAGCTACATACCAAGCAATGCTTCCCTGTTGCTCTAGGCACTGAACAGAGTAGAAGACAAGGCCTACCCCAATAAACTTACTGTCTAAAAAGCAAAGCAGAAGTTGGGAAAGAGGAAATAGTCTTCCCAGGTCATTAAGAAGTCCTGGTCCAAGAAGGGACTGGGGTCCCTAAATTGCACATTAGGCAGAATTTGAGAACAGAGCAGAATCTACATTTTGCCTGGTTGCCTGAGGCTTAACACACTTACCCAAGCCCTCTTATTTTCCTTGCTGAACCTGGTCTATTGTCCAGAAAGCAATATAAGATTCATGGGACCGGAAAAACAAGAAGCAAAAAGGAGTGGCTCTCTGTGGCCCTGTGAGGACAGACCTCCTTGGGAACAGGGAGGTAAGAGTTCTGTCCTTTTCTCTGATGTTGTTCAAGTGTGTTTTTTCCCACCAACTCCTGAATGCGAAGTGCTTAAGCAATCCCAGAGGTAGACTAGGCTACAGATGTACACTTGTGATGTGGACTTTGCAAAATGAGTAACAGACACAGAAAAACAAGGTAAGGATCATGGTCCTACATAAAACTTTATATTTTACAGCCTCCCCTCCCCCTCATATCTTAATTGTTCATCCACAGTTTGGGGTGATGTAAGGGTGGAAAGTAGCAGAGCAAGAATGAGGCAAATAGAGCAGTCACTTCTAGGTAAGACAGTTCATTTCACATAGAATAAGCTCTCAGAAGCAGACTTCTTGCTTATGCTTGTGATTTTCTCCAGTAGCTCCTCTGAAGCTGGATTCCTGTTCTTCCCTGATGTCAGCAAGCAGTTATCCAGTGCTGACACTCCTAAATACCACTTTTTCAACAGCATCATATTCCAGTCTGCAACATTCAGAAATGCAGTTTCAGTACTGACCCCTTCAAAAGCTCTTCTCACCTTCTCTAAGATGCCTAAGCTCAAACATCCTCCATTCCCTCCCCACTCCAACCTTCTTTCCACCAGTGAAAATTTTACTTATGTCCCAGTCCTACTTTCACTGACAAAGGTGACAGCAGGTGGTGGGCAGGGTGGAAAAAAAGAGGTTGCTGTTAACTCCATTGTGGGAAGGATCAGTCCCTTAAACAGCTATCTGTCCCAGCATAAGCTAGGGACAAGTACAGTTCCTTTTGTTGGGTGCCCAGCTTCAGGCTACTTGGGGAAGGCACTACAAAGTACTAAAGCATGAAGGTTATTGCTATTTAAAATACCTTTGTGCTGTTTTCATTCAACAATAGGATTGCAAAATGTTTCTATCATTGTCAGATATCCTCGTTTTTATTCAATTTTCATGGCCCTAAGCACATTAGTGGAAAATGTAATTTGTTCATGATCAGGGAACCATGACATTTTACAGCGGTCTAGAAGGAAAGAAAAAAGCATTCTCCTGAACAGGTAAAAAATTGGTTTCTGAAGGGAAAAGATCTGAAGTGTACAGATAGGAAGGTTCATGAACCAGAAAGTTTGCTGGAAAAGTGTCCCAGGATAAATGCCATCATTTATATTCACTTTCTAGGCTTATGCTGATATCTCGTCCCAGATTGTTTTAGTCTAAATGACACTGCACACCAAACTGACAGTTTGGTAACATTCTCTTAAATATTTGCCTCTAGAGGTAAATGGGCAGACTGGCATTTAATTTCCTTTGCCGTTTCTTCCCTTGGTTTTATGGAGTATTTAACAAAAAAGGCACACATTCCACAAGTGCTCATCTGTAAAACATTGATGTAAGCCAGCCCAATTTATTAAATCTACACTATTTGCTTTCACATCCTTTACTTTAACATTTCTCTGAATGCTTCTTATGTGGCATAAAATATGCGATCTAAATGCCTGAGCAAGAATTAATAAATTACCACTTAAGTATACTCCTGACTGTGCTGCAACTAAAAAAACAACGCATGCATGTATCTACATAAATAATATTGAAACATTAACATGGGAAGTCTGTCTTACAGGAACGTCTGTGAGAAATCAGAAACTGTAGAGCCTACATAAGGAACTACTATTTTAGTCCCGAGAATATTTCTTAACACACACACAGTTTATTTTAGGATTATAACTGGTGCATAGATATTCGGCTTGTCCCTGAACTAGCTAGATTTTCATTTGAAATATCTCTCATTCTTTTCTCTATGTTGAGCTCAGATCTCAGCACTGGCAAAAGAACAGCAGACTGGTAGCGTTTCCCAACAGGGTAGCAGCAAGGAGGGCTGTGCAAAGCTTCGGTCACTGATTTGATTCAGCAGAGATTTGACCCAATTTGGCAGCCAAATCTCCAAATCTGAATCAAATCAGATTTCTCTCTGAATTGAATCAGAACCCTCCAAATCTATTCAGAGAGATTTGGAAAGATTTGATGATTTGGACGTAGATACAGCTTTGTGTTTTTTCTACATACCTTGAGGTACCAGGCAGCTCACGAATGCTGAGATGGTGGGGTGGATGGAACGTCCCATGGGAGTGTGTGTGTGGGGGGGCATTGAATCAGCATCGAATCTTCAGATTTGGATTTGGCCGAGTCGAATCAGGACAATGATCCAAATCAACAAATTGAATCACTGTCCCTGATTTGGGACAAATCTGAATCAAATATGGTCCATTTCGCACACCCCTAGTAGAAAGCACCAATACCTAACTTACTGGGACAAGCAGTTGGTTTGGTGGGTCTATACAGCATCTCACTGGAGGATGC